TTTTGTAAGCTTAAGCTTATACCAAACCTCATACTAGGTCAGATCAGTGTCTCAGTCAAATCTTAATACAAACGAGCATAAACTAGCTTCATAAACTGCGCCGCTGGACTTAATGAAGTTAGATATAAATACAATAATTGCTCAGGCTTACCATATTTCGAGATGCAGCTCCTGAAAGCTATCTAGTAAGGAAAGGATCGCTTGAGCCTTTATAATTCTCGCACGCATCCAGCAAGGTGAAAAACAAAAACGATGCCATCCGAAATCGGATTATCGGCTTTGACAAGCGACGCATTTCTCAACCAAAAACCCAATAAACAAACCAGCCATGAATAAGAACACTCTTGATAGCAGCTGTATTTCATTTTTTACATCCAGTGGAAAAAGACAGTTAAAAACATCACAAGTTGACTCAAAACTCTGTCAGCTTCAGCTGTCAAAGTAAACAACTTTCAAGATGCTGCATAAATTTTACGCATAAACTCACCTGTCAAATTTTAACCAATCAGAGCATAAAAATTGGACGTGGAGCGTGACCAACACGTGACCATGGTTAGAAAAGGTCTTATCCGCCTGTATTTTAAAAAAACTGGCTGAATTTTTGCGTCTGAGGTCAGTTTGAAATCAAAATCGTAATAGTGCGGGGCGATACTGACATAAACACAACATATTTGATATGAAGTTAAAAAATAAGTAAACGTGAGCCTGCGATCATTTGAAAACAAGTAAATTGTCAGCGGATAACTTCAAAAAATACTCGACCTTGATTGGTAGACACCTGAGCCCGCGATACGGTCAGGTGATACTGGTCAGCGGATACCCTGTTTTGACAGCTGTCAATTGATGACAACATTGATGTGTAATCAGCTTTGTCCTGAGCTCCCAAAGTAGCTAGAAAGTGTGAGAGTAAACATTGGTATGCCTGTGGTGCGGACGGACGGGCAGCGGACGGGCGGGCGGGCGGGCGGTGTACGGTCACGTGATTACCAAATTTTCTGGGATGGGTAGATTTACTTACCCATGGTGCTCCGCAGACGCGCTTCTCGCGCCAGAGCTCCGCTATTAGACTTAAAATTTTTTAACTTCATTTACTTGTATAAATGTTTTAAAAGAAATATCAGAATTTTTTTTAAACTACAAAACAGCGGTATTTTGCACTTGATTCTTATATTTTCAATGCAACATCTGAAGTAGTTTTTTGTGCGATATATAAATTATAAACTATAATAAATTATCATTATTGTTATTATTATTATTATTATTATTATTATTATTATTATTCTCAGCCTAAACTATTAATTGCTTATTATGGTCTGAACGAAAAGACGTTGGGCTTGAGAAAGACCTAAAGTCGAGGATGCACCGGAAAGCAAAAGGAACTTCCCCCAACCACGTGTACGGCCGAGGATTAAGATCAACACAGCCACATTGAATTCTTAATTGGGAAGCTGAAATCCATAATTTATTTACCTAGAAGAGCCAAGGGCTACCTCAATCTCCACTGCGTAAAACTGCTATTCGATGCACTCGTGAAGCTTATCTTTGAATACTGTTGCTCGATTTAGGTTGGGCACCTAACGACCACCTGTTGAGAATACTTATAGTGCAAAAACTCCACAGCAGATTAATGTTAGAAGCTAGGTTATTGGATAATTCAGTACAAATGTTCCAGAAACTACAGTGGCTACCGAGTGATCGTATAATACGAGTGAAAACACTGTGCATGATGTTCAAAACTCTAAACAAGGAGTGTCTAGATTAGTCAACAAATTATATAACTCAAGTAAAAAACTATCATAGCTATAGCACTCAATCTTTCAATAATCTTTTCGTTGTACCGAAATGTCGGTCAAACGCTAGTCTTCGAACATTCCATGCGAGTGCGACTTGTCTATGGAACTGTCTAGCCCACAATGTTATGAACATGACAAATGAAAGGAACTTTACAAAACATATATTCTTGAAAATCAATTTAAATCGCGAACATTTTGTTTTTGTTACAAGGAATTTTTAAGGCACTTTTTTGACAAAATTTTTAATATCGATTCTTTTGTACCAAATAGCTATTTTTAATTATTTTCAACTTTTTACCCTCTTAACTTCTCATTTTGGCGATGTTGAGGATTCATTCCCCAAATAGTTTGAACTGGAGGGTGAATTTAAACTAGGAGAGCTTTGAGACAACAACTGCTCATTCCGGTTGGGTTCCACTACTTTGTTGTCCTGATGGGCCTCTCGTATGTGGGCTCTGATGCGTCTCAGCTCTCTCTACCAGTTCTGGTCGTTAGAGCATATGAGCGAAGATTTGTATCGAAGATCAGCTTCAATGATATGCCATGCCCTGGGGGTATCTCTGTGGGGATTAGCAGTTCCTTTTGTTGACTGTACTGGAGTTCCTCACAGCTACTGCATGCTTTTGTGGTATCTTCTATGTCATGGTACAAGCCTCTCCAGTAGTGGTTCTGGCTCTTAGCTTGATTCTCCTTGTTACTTTGTGTTGTCTGTGGAGTTTGGCGAAAATATATTTCTGCAGAGTCGTAGGAATGATAATTCGGTGGGCTTTAGTGAATATTCCGTCTTCGCTTGCTATCTGGTCTCTGAAGGGCCAGTCTGAGTGTTGGGTGCTGTTGGATGTGGGTAAGCCAACCTTCGCTGATCATTTCTTTTAATGCACCGAGTTTCGCTTCCAAACTGCTTTGTTCTTTGATCTTTTGTAACATTATCTTACAAGCTGAGGAAAGACCATGTGAGTTTGGACGTTCATTTCGGGGATGGGTTCATGACTCTCTGTTGATAATGTTGGCAGGGCATCAACTACTTCAATGTCTTTGCCTGGTGGGTTACGAATGGTGGGGTCGTATGGTTGCAACCTTAGCAGCTTCCGCTGAGGACGCGGAAGAGGAGCTGTCAGGTGTTTAAGACAAAAAAAGAAAGCTGAAAAGCGAGGTCAAATCATAGGTAATCAATCGACTGCTGACCACCCTCCCCACCACTCAACCCCAACCCGCAGGTGCCAAAAGAGGTCTTCTGATCCTTTGAGATCAGTCATATAAAATAATAAGCAAAGAAATGGTGCTTTGTTCACTTACAGTGTTTGCAAGGAAAGGAGATTTGAAAATATCCCTGACGGGAGCTCCTTGATCTTGTTGTCTTTCAAATTCCTGCAGGAGAATAAATAAACTTCATGTGTATTATATTAAAGGAATCATTAAATGTTTTTACCTAGTCCACAACCATCAAGTAATAAGCGTTATAACACTCAGTTACCAGTTAAGTTGTATAATGTTCTGTAACCAGTATCGTTTCGCCCTGTATTGGCTCAAAGGAAAAGTGAACATGCATTTAATTTTCCCCACGGCAGCCAGTTCGTTAAGCCTGTTAACAATGCAACGCGTGTGTTATAATTAATTAGAACAAATTTATTGAATTGGCATGCCCGGGTGCCATAGGTCACGTGTGTTTTTTGTTTTTTTCTTTTTTTTTTCAATTTTATTCCAGATAATGAATGTAGCAAGCCGCTGATGCATTTAATTTATGTCAATAGAACGCGTGTGAACATGTTAAGGAGCATTTGATTTAAGAAAATAAACATTTTCCTATACATTGTGGCGTTTTGGCAACACTTAGTGGTACACTGGAGATTCAGGAATAGTGCTTCTAGCGTGACTCATATTATGTCGACATCAATGTAGTTTTTACTTTCTAGTGTGTGCACTCAATATTATCGTACTACCATAAGGAGCTTCACAGGGACATACCTCAGGCAATTCTAAACGCGGTAGTAACACCGGGCATAATACGTTTTGGGACAAGGTTAAGATTATTTACCGAGACCCTCATTGTTGTTGTTTAAGACTTTTATAGCGTTCTTCCCAGCTTTCACACTGTTCTGTGCATTCCTCTTATTGGTTGGCTTTTGCTATTTGATCATTAATAACAATAATAAGGCCCAGGTCAGAGGCCCTTTGTGGCGGGATACTGGCAGCTTAAGGCAAGCATGTGCCTTGTAGCTGTCAACATAATGCTTTTTAATTACATTCCGTCATAATTAACAAAACCCGATCCACGTTTGATTGAAAGTGATTGTACAAATCTGGTACCAGACAAACCGCTTTTAAAAAACAAAAAAAACAAAACTAGTTTATGGTTATTTCTCATTAATTTCACTTATCAAAACAAATATTTTCTTTTATCAGTTTTCCCGTTTCTTTCAAAACATCCTTCATTTCCGGGCGTTTCACTGTAGTCAATAAAAGACACGTTTTATCGGTCTTCTTTTACGCGGGAATATCAAAATATCCATCTTTCAAAACGCGATGAACCAAAGCTCGCAGGGTACCAAAGCGCCAAAGGCGCACGATGCAGTCCCGGTGTTTTGTGAGCACCCGTTAAAAATATTGAACGTCAAAACTATCAAGTTTTGGTACAGCGAGAGGCAGCTAGTTTCTGTACCCAAAGGTTAGTGCATTGACAGGCTATCAAAAAAAAAATAAAGGGGATGCTTGCCCAATGGATAGCAGGCCAAACTACCCAAATAAATGTCTCATTGCATCCTTGTCTGCGGGGTTAGTACTAAATTTACACTCTAGAATATATTACACAACTCAATCAGCAACACCTTGCAAGTAGAATTGGCGATCAATGTGGGCAATTTATATTTCTAAGGGACGTCCGTGGCACAAAGGCTTAACGCGCGGGGTTTTTAGTCAATGACTGACATAAGAGTTTCCTCACAATCGACCCAGTTAGAGTGCGATAATGTGCGCGTGAACTTTGCCTACAACTGGCAATAAGCTGAATAAACCGGAAGCTGAAAACCATGAATAATTTACTAAAAAATATCGCTCAGCTTCTTTTTCGTTTTTTTCAAGTACCGGAGGGGTTTTTCGTGCATTCTGTTGCGCAGTTTGGCAGTGATATACCGAGCATCAGACAGGTAACGCACCGAAGCCACCATTTTACTCTTCTTCTACCAAACAGTTTTCCTGCAATGGTCTTAGTACTGGTCCCGTTGCCGAAACCTTGCACGAGCAAGATACGATAATCGAGAGTCGAGAATCGAGAATCGATATTGTACTCGGGACAAGAAAAGGTCGCCGTCAAGGGAACAACTGATGCAATGCAAGAGCTTCAAGCTGCTGAGAATCGCCAATTGTGGATTACAAGCAGTGAAGGAACTCCTGAGAAGCGTCCAAATTATAAAGGAAATTTGGAGACCAGTCAGCCACGGTGATTGTCGCACCACGCATAAAGTAGAATAAATTTGTTAGCCTGGTCTTGTCTTTGCCACATATCACGTAAAACTATAAAGGAGGTACCACTATGAACTCTGGAAAATGAAAATTCAATAATATTATGGTTGACGACTGACAGTTTAAAAGAGAGACTACCATCACCTCAGAATCTTGGGCGCGCCGCCTGTAAGCTCCGAGGGAGAGGGAAGCCCCATAATTTGGCCTATTTCAGAAACAAATGACAATACAAAAATAACCTACAATAATAATTTGGATAAATGATCGACATTTTAAAAGAGAGACTACCTTCACCTCAGAAACCTGGGCACGGCGCCTGTAAACTCTGACGGAGAGGGTAGCCCCATAATTCATTTGGCCAATTTCAAAAAAAAATGACACTAACAAAATTATCTACAGTTATAATTTCAAAAGAGAGACTACCATCACCTCAGAAACTTGGGCGCACCGCCTGTAAGCTATGAGGGAGAGGGAAGCCCCATAATTTGGCCTATTTCAAAACAAGTGACAGTACAAAGATGACCTACAATAATAATTTGGATCATGACCGACATTTCAAAAGAGAGACTACCTTCACCTCAGAATCTTGGGCGCGCCGCCTGTAAGCTCTGAAGGAGAGGGTAGCCCCATAATTCATTTGGCCTATTTCAAAAACAAATGACACTAAATTTATTACCTACAGTTATAATTTCAAAAGAGAGACTACCATCACCTCAGAAACTTGGGCGCACCGCCTGTAAGCTATGAGGGAGAGGGAAGCCCCATAATTTGGCCTATTTCAAAACAAGTGACAGTACAAAGATGACCTACAATAATAATTTGGATCATGACCGACATTTCAAAAGAGAGACTACCATCACCTCAGAAACTTGGGCACGCCGCCTGTAAGCTCTGAGGAGAGGGTAGCCCCATAATTAATTTGGCCTATTTCAAAAACAAATGACACTACAAATATAACCTACAATAATAATTTGGATAATTGACCGACATTTCAAAAGAGAGACTACCTTCACCTCAGAATCTTGGGCGCGCCGCCTGTAAGCTCTGAAGGAGAGGGTAGCCCCATAATTCATTTGGCATATTTCAAAAACAAATGACACTAAATTTATTACCTACAGTTATAATTTCAAAAGAGAGACTACCATCACCTCAGAAACTTGGGCGCACCGCCTGTAAGCTATGAGGGAGAGGGTAGCCCCATAATTTGGCCTATTTCAAAACAAGTGACAGTACAAAGATGACCTACAATAATAATTTGGATCATGACCGACATTTCAAAAGAGAGACTACCATCACCTCAGAATCTTGGGCGCGCCGCCTGTAAGGTTCTGAGGGAGAGGGAAGCCCCATAATTTGGCCTATTTCAAAAACAAATGACACTACAAAAATAACCTACAAAAATAATTTCTATTATGACCGACATTTTAAAAGAAAGACTACCTTCACTTCTGAATCTTGGGCGCGTCGCCTGTAAGCTCTGAGGGAGAGGGTAGCCCTATAATTTGGCCTATTTCAAAAACAAATGACACTACAAAAATCTCCTACAAAAATTGTTTGGATTAAGACCGACATTTCAAAAGAGAGACTACCTTCACCTCAGAATCTTGGGCGCGCCGCCTGTAAGCTCTGAGGGAGAGGGTAGCTCTATTATTTGGCCTATTAAGTAGAAAACAAGTAACAATACAAAGGTAACCTGAAATAATAATTTTTGGATTATGATTGACATTTCAAGGAGGCTAAAATGACTGATATAGAAACCATCCTGTATCTGTGACGTTGATTATACAGATCGCCCAAGCGAACACGAAGATGTTGAAGTGGAAGCTAGAATATCTAAAGTAATTCAGCGTCTTGGGCTCCTTCCAGCGAATAAGATTTTGGCGGGATTTCCACGGTGCTTGGCGGGCTTTTTGGAGAGTGATTTGTCACTGGAGGCACATCGACGCTTACATCGTCTGAAGCCAGAGAAAAAAGACTTGAATCCTTCGCCGTTTGATCAAAAAGGTCGTCCATTGATTCAGATAATCGGTCTTGATGTTCCTCAAGGAGATGTGAAGTAGAGCTCGGGCTCTTGCATTCGTTTTCTACGGCGACTATAAAATGTGCATTGTTGACGGCTTTTCTTCAACGTTCAAATAGAGAAGATTTAAAAATTTCTTTGATCAGGGTCTTTTCCACGCAGAGTTCCTTCCAAACCGGAGAAAGATGTGCCAGCAGAGAGTGTATTCCTACTTGTGCTCCACAGTAAAAACTTGATACGCCGACTCGCCGTTTTCGCTTCGAAGGTCACCAATGTTGACACGGCATACTACTCTTGAAAGAAGTTAAATAAGCCATCGGAGCACTATTTTCTTAAAAGAAAGCACTTGAAAAACCATTGAAAGCGTATCAAGCCTGTTTGAATCCAAATGAGGCGAGAAAACTATAGTTATCAATTGCGAAGCCAGCCGCGAAGATCGACTTCCAAATTTTCAATCGACCGTGAAATGAATTTATAATACCCAAATAGTCTGATCAAATTTCGCGTTTCCTTGAGATGTCTGGTTCGTTTAATCAGAAGTACAAAGTTCCTTGACAGGCAATGTGTCCGGCGCTCTCCAAAAGTGTCTGGAGGAATGCTTAAAACTAATTGCGAAAGTAACGCTTGTCTGTTATTGGAAACCGATCTGCGGTGGTTGCTGTGGAGATTAGGCCTCCTCTGGCGCGCACTAAAATCGGGGCTCTGGCCTGTTATGTAATTTGTATTCAACTTTGGGCTTGTGAACTCGCATAATTAAGTGACTCACAGTAAGTGAAAATGACAAGACTTTAATAGTTTTTCATTTCCTCGAGATAGAAAAGAAGAAAACGGTTTTTTAGTAGTCAGACAAAATTGAAATAAAGAGTTTTCAGTCCATGGCAGTGATGCAGCTTTTCTTCTTGAATGAGTTTGTCAATCAAAGCCGCGTTAGTCAGTTGGAATACATGACCGATAAAACTGGCAATATTTTGACGCTGAACTTTTTCCACTTCGTCAATCGTCAACGGAGGTGTAGCGCTCGCATGTTTGAAGCGATGTTTTAAAAAATATTGGTGATAGTCAGACTTTTTTCAGAGCAAACTGAACTTTTAAGAATAAAATGTTGAACGGAAGGCGCGCTTTTATTTTGAAGACTGTTATAACAATGGGTTACGTCATAGACTCCACCCCTATGCATATCAATGATTTACCTCGACCTAACTCGACACTTACTCGACACCAAAGAGGCTTAATTTTCACCATAGTAGACTACTGGATATCCAACATCCTTTTCTCCCACTTGTTATACACAACTTGGTGTCAGAAGAAGCTGTTCTAAATGTCATCGCCTAATGACGCGCACAAAACTAGGACGATTTGCACTCCACACAAGGGCTCTCAACAACTTGGTTGTCAGCAAATCCCCGAAGCTATCGTTAAGGGACAATAAAGAAACAAGTGTAACGATTTCGCCAATAATATTATCCATATGGAACTTCCGACAACTTACCGGAGGAATGCTAGCAAAACTCCAGTTCACTGAGTTGGAGATAACGCCGAAAACGAAACCGAAACCCACATTGATCTTCCAGATGACGTTCCAGACTTTTAAGATACTACAATCGTCGTAAAGCTAGCCACCAAAACAACACTGACTATATTAGCGATGCCTCGAAGATTTGTCGGCCAAAACAAAGTGATGCCTCCACGACTAGCCTTCAGCAACTGTAAACAAAGACACAACGAATCTACCACAGATTGCGAAGCCCGGCTCTGAAGCACGACCAAAACGTCCAAATATTCGGTGATAAAAGACTCACTTTTGGAAGGTATGCGTGACCGTCTGTGCATTGACGTCCGCATAAAAAGGACCTGAAAGAACTAATTCGTCAACATTACAAAGACGAGCGCGAAAGGAAACATCAATGTCATTTGAGAAACAACGCGTCCGAACAAAGTACTGGGAGGCTACCCACAGCATCAATAATATACAGATTTAGCCAGGGCTAAAAGCGAAGCTCCTACTAACTCGAATTTATAATATAAATCAAACAATTGTAAACTTGTATTCCACAAATCAGTTAACTTAAAAGCACATTCATGTGACTTTTGAGGGAAAGGCTAAGCGATTTTAGAGAAAAAATAATTTGCAAACAGTCCAAGCTAAGAGTGAACTTAATCTTACATCGAGTTGATAGCCTTATATGTACACCTACAAAATAGCATAGCCATAATGGTTCTTGATCACAGTACATTAGGCCTGGACAACAAATTCTTGGAAAACAAATCAGGCCGATTTTTTTGCGTTCGACAAGTTTACTTTACAAAATCTTGCCAACAAGTCTGGGGACGTGTAAACCAACCTTTTATACTTTTTATACGTCACATCTGAGGTGAAATAGTACCATGAGGTGCAGTTTTTATCATAAAGACCTCGGACAGAATGCAGTATTTCACAATTTTGCAATACAAATTGCACTCATTCAATATTCAGGACGATCGAAGCACGCGTTAGCGAAACCGTTAAAAAAATTTCCAAAATCACTTATACGGCGAGCCGGTTCTCACTTTTGACAAGCGCCAAAGTCGACCGATTAAATGATAACTTCAAAAAGATACTTGACCTCGATGGGTCAACACCTGAGCCCGTGATACGATCAGGCGATATGGTCAGCAGATACCCTGTTCTGACAGCTGTCAATTGATCACAACATTGATGTGGAATATGTGTGCAATGTCAGTCTTCCTGTGCCCCCAGACTAGCTAGAAAGTGTGAGATTGAACATTGGTTTTCCTGTGGTGCGGTTGGACGGGCGGGCGGTGTTCTGTCGCGTGATTACCAAATTTTCTGGGATGGGTAGATTTACTTACCCATGGTGCTCCGCAGGCGCGCTTCGCGCACCAGAGCTCCGCTAAAAAGTCATTGTGAACTCTGCCAACCAGAAGGTAGAAGAGCAGGAAAATCACGTGATACATAAGCCCCCAAGCCCTTTCGAACACAATGCGTATGATGTGGAGGAAAAATTGCCCTTAAGACAGCCAAACAAGCAGGCTATGCAACTGTTGCGGCCGCTAACTGTTACTCATAGACCACCTTGCTAAAGTATGCAGATCCCCAAAGACAACTTAAAGCCTAGAGCTTAAGAGAAGCTAAAAAACAAGCAACAGGCGCCTCCTCCATTTCTACTCCCTTTAGATGTTCGTACTTGTCAAGGCACTGTTTCTAGCGAGGGTTTTCAAGAGATAGCTGCTCGCGTTTATGAACCTTCGTTACTTCTGTGTTAATAGTAAAATCTCGCTTTAACGAAGATATCTTAACATTGAAAAGTTCCACTGGCTTAGTCACCACTCCAATCATCATCTCAATTTGTCGTACCTCGCGTTGGTGAGGGCGAATTTTCAAACGATCAATCAACGCGGCTGAAGCATATGAACTTCCAACACCAGTGTCCAGTAGCGCGCGACACTTTACTCCTTGTACTTCAACAACAACAACTGGATATATCACGGTAGAATTTCCCAGAGAGGTGGCTATCATTAACTGGTCTCCAAGTCTATAGCAGATAGAAGTGTGATGCACTTTCTGGCAAATCTGGCACAAAGAACGACTTCTGCAATCTACGGCCCTGTGTTTGCTTCCGGTGCAATTGAAACAGAGGCGTTTGTTACTTAGCAACCGTTTGCGTTCGTCTAGCGTGGTCACTGTCTTGCAATTGTTGTTGAAAGTTATTTTTAAGATGGATCTATCTTATTTTTAAGTTTAGTTTTTGTTTCGTTAAGTCTTGTTTTTGTCCACGTACTGTTTTCCTGTTTTGATCTTTTGTTTTTACTTGTGTTTGAAGTTATGCTTAGCTCGCGAATTTACTTATTGCCATATTAGCAATGTTACAGGTGGTCGTGTTTGTGGTGTTAGAACTGACCTTCGCTCTTTGGTAATTATCAGCTGCGGCTGTGCGTAGGCTAATCTATTCCCTGACAATAGCAAACCTGTTGCAGTGTTAGCGATACGAAATACAATAGAAACTCTTCCGGTCAGCAAACCCAAACATGTCCAGCTTTGGCTATTAAAACCGCTACTATACTTGAACTAGTAGAAGTTAGTAGAAAAAAAATAGGGAAAGGTAAAGTAGAAGTAGAGAAGTTGATAGAACCGAGAAACTTGCTGTGTAAGTAGAAGTTGTAAGAAGAATAAGAAGAATAAAGGCAAGATGTAAATCAGATTCCTGGTACCTCGTCGTGTATCGAGCGAGTTGCTCGAACACACCCCCACACAATCAACTGACCTTTGATCGGGTTTTCCACAATAAACACCCTCACGACCTCGCTCGTCTTTCTGTTGTGTCTGGTAAGATTTGTCACGTAATGGCTTCTCATTTGACTTCGTGTGGATTGGACTCCTTTCCGTCCATTTCCTGAGCTCGCCGACTAACTGGGAAAAGTGCCATTCTCGCCAAGAGTCATCCGTCGGAACAAGATCTCCTCTTATCCCTGGAAGTTTGTCGATGGTCATCCGGACGTATCCATTTACCTCTTGAAGTTTTCCCATTGTTTCCATTTACTGCACGTTAAATAAAAGCTTCTCATAAAACTCGTGTATTTTATTCGGCTGAGAACCATTGATTGTAGACAAAGACCTTGATCATCACCATCTTGACCTTGATCATCACACGTCAATCTGATCAGTTATTAGCGAATACACCGCGTATTAGTCGGTACATTTCTGACCATGCAACTGTCTTTTGTTCTATCCGCTGTGATAAGCCACCACTTTCTGTGCGAAAAGTTTCTTACCGAAAATTGCACTCAGTCAACGTAGTCTCCTTGAATGAGGACTTGGCTACTTCCGAATTGTGCCAGAATCCATCTGATGATTTAGAGGAACTTGTTTCATCTTATAACGATACCCTAATGGCTGCTTTGGACAAGCACGCACCGTTAATGACAAGAACAATTGTTCAGAGACCTCGTGTTCCATGGTTCAGTCAGGAGATCAGGGAGGCGAAGCGTCAGCGAAGGAAGGCTGAAAAGAGGTGGAGGAAATCTCGATTGGAGTCCGATCTT